GTGTAATCCGAAAATCCTTTTTTTATTATAATTGATCGACAAATCACCTGATCACACCATTTTGAAAACGGCGATAAACCCTTTTTATCTATTCAACTCTGGTAAAAAAAATTTTATGTTTTCCTTAAAAAAAACCACTGAGGCGATTCTGTTTAGGAGATAAATCACAGAAACTATTTCCTTCAAAAAAAATCACCTTCTTTGAAAAAAACGCCTCGAAGGCGATTCCCTTCAAAAGTAACGCCTCCGGAAGCGGTTTTCTTTGCAAAAAACCCTAGGAGGCATTTCCCTTCAAGGGAAACGGCTCCGGAAATTTTTTCTTTGAAAAAAACGCCTCGGAGGCGATTCCCTTCAAGAGTAACGCCTCCGGAAAACGTTTATCTTCGGAAAAATCGCCTCGGAGGCATTTTCCTTCAAAGAAACGCCACCGGAAGTGATTTCCTTCAAAGGTAACGCCTCCGGAAGTGATTCCATCAAAGGAAAAGCCACAGAGACGATCACTTTCAAGGAAATCGCTCCGAAAGCGATTTTCTTTGATAAAAAAGTCTTCGGAAACGTTTCTCTTGAAGGGATCGTTCAGGAAGCGCTCCACTTAATAGAAAAGTATCTCTCGACGGAATTTCGTTTCGAAAAAGAAATGTATAATCCGAACGAGCCGGCTTACTAGCCCGGCTTGGCTTGGCTTGGATTGTCGAGCCGAGCTAAGCCAAGACGAAATAAAAGTGGCTCGACTTAAGCTCATGGCAAGCCAAGCCACGGCTTATGCGGGGCTTTACTGCCGCAATTATCGAAATCAATTCACAAGCGTAAATCGTGATCTTTCGGGCGGAATTATATTAGACAGTCTCTAATATTTAATCATATACTAAATATCGAAATACATAATTTGTTATTGAAATAAAAAGTTAATTTGAATTTATTAACATATGTCTTAGGTACTTTACAAAAGGCAATTTGGCTTAATTACGTTTCTAAAGCCTATTGGCTTAGTTATGTTATCAAATCTTCCTACTTAGTTACATTACCAAAGGCCTCTTGGCTTAATTACATTTGCGAACTTTCCGGAATTGATCTACCATAGTCTAACTAAAATTACATGAACGAAGTGTTGACCAGAATTATCGACTGTGGGCAGAATTATATTCATTGTACAATAGCTTAAATTTTTTCTAACCGAGGATTTACAATGGTGGTGTAAATATTTATTTCGGCATTGAGAGGCTGTAAAGTCTGTAACGCTCTATATGAGAATCTCCAGCAAGCAAATACTAGTTTGTTAAGGATAAGCCCAGTCAGCTTCATACTTAAAAAAAAAAAAACTATATAAAGTTAGGAAATTTGTTATTAAATTGTCATTCCATCAAATAATTTAAATTGTAACTCTAATCTGATTTCTTACAAATACACGTCTCTAAGCTGCATTTACAAAATTCACATATATTAATCCTTCAAATACTTCCAAAGTTATCATGAAACTTCACATTTTCATGCTTATTTTCGTCATTTCAGCCTTCAGTCAGCTCCTTCTTTAATTGAGAGAAACGCAAGCTTGGTGAAAAGGCAATCATCGAGTGCAGCTTCAACGAAGATTGCTTCTTCTTCTAATGGGAAACACCCAAGCGCGTTTTTCAAAAGGGAATAAGATCCATCGTTTATTGCTCCTTCTGATGAGAAACACGCAAGCTTGGTGAAAAGGCAATCATCGAAAACTGCTTCAATGAAGGTTGCTAAATCTTCTAATGGGGAAGCAGATCTCCCAATGATGTAATTCTCCAATATCTCGTAAGTTTATTTTTGGTGGAAAAAAATAAAAACAAATTATTAAATGCTTATTTTGTCAAACACCGTTGGGATAATGGTTACAAATAAATATTAAACGAGCTTGTTTCAGTATTTTATGTAACTCTTTCTGTGTAAAGGATTTGGATGCTTCATATTTGGTATATACGTTGCTTTTAATTTCGTTATTTGCTTTCAATGAAATGTCCTTTACCAGGGAATAGTAATTTTTTTATCACTTATAGGTTTGAATTCAAAGTCACGAGTTGAAATTGTATTATTTTGAATATTGTTTCGACTTAAATTTATTTTATTTGTAAAAATCAATTATTGAGGCAATAACATCTTTTAATGCGAATCATTGTTAAAAAATAAAAATAACTCTTAGTTGGGAGAAGCCTTTATCTTTGATTATAATTTCTATGATTTAGACTTAACACTAAAAAATATTAGTTTACCATTACTAATCATCTAAATCTTGTCTTGAAATGATACAGTCTTAGATAATTTAGAACGTGTGTTTGAGTTTCACACATGATGATATAATGAGTGTTTTCGCCAACATAAAATTTTTATAAATACGCACCATTTAATGTAATCTATCAATTTCAGTTTTGAATTGAGAAGTCAAACTCGTTAGAACGATTTAAAAAGCTGATATTAATATTTTTTTTTGTAAAATTAATATAAATTTTTGCTTGGATTTTAAAAAATAAACGTATATATTAGTCTTTTTCACATTTCGTAAATAATAAATAGGTGATAAATCATGCAATGGTTGTTTGACCAAATATTAAACTTTAATAGTAGTAGTAATAGTAATTTAATAGTCTTTTATTATTTGTAAATCGTTAAGTTTCATAATAAATTTGAGAAAATTCATATGAAAAAGTGTGCGTTAACTTTTGGAACCCTCTGTATAATTCCTTTTAACCATATACACTTGCAATACTTCAAATTTAGCCTTGACAAAGATTATACCTTTTGATTTTATTTTAAGTACAACGATGTAAACGCAGAATTTAAATGTACGATACATATAAATTATTAACTTTCATAGGATATTTACGAAAATAACAAATTATGAGTAACATTTAGCAGGAGTACACTAATTCTCCAACGATCTTGCTCAATAGTATTGTCACAATTCTTCATTTCAAAATAGACACGTTTTCTGATCTTTTACTTTTTTTCGCCGAATAAAATCTACATTAACATATATATATATTTTCAATGGCTTTACCTATTATGTTGAATTATATAATATTGATTGTAACTCTTTTTTTTTTTGTATTTTTTTACCTCAGGAAAATTGTATTAACAATACGAATAAAAGAAATTAAGATTGTGTATATATTTCCGATCCTTTATTTGAAAAATTCATCTAGTGCTTGACCCGACCCGAATTTTTTCTCGAGTCGGAACTATCATTTTATGACACGAGTCCTAATTCTAAAAAACCCTCTGGGTCAGGGTCACGTTTGTTTGACCCGAGTCAACCCGGGTCGACCCGGAAAATAAATCCGTCACCATTTTCGCGGGAGACGCTATGTAAGTCTTATTAAATGTGAGTTGTCTCATGACTTGCTTGTTTCTAGTTTAGAAAACAATTGATACCTAATATCTTTTGGGAATTTTTTTCTTGATTATCGATGTTAAACTTTCTTTTTCAATATTTAAATTATTCAAAATCATTATAATGTTCACTCAAATTAGAATTTTCTCTTCAATATGTTACCTATTTAAAGGACTTGATACAATGAAAATGAATTATTCATCTTAAAGTTGAAAAGCGCCAGATTTAGTCGTTTAGCGCATGTTTGTTGTTTCTTTAGTAAGAAAGTATGATAATCTACTATATTTATCGATTTTGTGTAATCGGTTCACGATCGTTTTTGCAGATTGATAAAAAAAACTCGGTAAAGCTAGGTAATCGCTACGTTCAGATCAGTGTTCCGAATATAGCGGCATAATCTTTTTTACCCATATATAAATGTGGTTGGCTTTTCCAAATCCTTATAAATGTTCTCGCGTTAAAAATTAAAAATAATATTTTGTCATTTATTCACTTGACATCTCTGGATTAAATTATCGATGTCATTATTTCCAGACAAAAGATTTTTAAACATGACAAATTATTGATTATAAAGTATTTTCTTTTGTAATGGTCATAATCTTCATTTATTATTTTTTTTTTTTGTTCTGATTTTTCGACTGTTGTTTAATTATTTATTATGAATACTACAGTATAATAAATAATATATTGCTGCCACCTAAACTTTACATTTACAGTAACTCGTGATATTCTAAAAAAATTTTTTCATTGTCAACTCGGTCAAAATTTCAAGAAAATTAAAAGAAACACATTTTTTTAAGTAATTACGAAACTCTGATTTGAATAACAAAATAAATCAAATATTCTTTTTTTTTTTTTTTTTTTATATACCTTCATTCGATCAAGAAAATGGTGGAAATAGATTGGCCAATTTTATTTGCGATGATCGGTGTTACTTTTTTGGCCAGTCGCTTTCTTTTTTACAATCCAATTTACCTTTTTTGCTTAATTTATAGGTATAAATAACGAAATTCCCCATGGAAATTTCTCAAAAACTAAAAAAATGGAACTAATGATCACAAATAATGAAAATTCTTTTAATCCAACTCTCCAATATCCTATAAGAATGGTGTGAAAACTTGCTCCGATATTTTATATTTAATAAATAAATACAGGTTCAAAATATTGCAACGTAATAAGGATGGTAAATCTATGGAAAGATAGTTTATCGTTAATTATGTTGAAGCAAAAGTTAAATTTCTTCTGGATAGGTAGAATCAACTTTAGCTAAAAAAAAAACTTATTATTGCAGAACTTGTGCTCAATTGTCAAAATGGATACAAATATTTTAAATATTGGTTAAAAACAAGTATTATTTTGGGAGTTGTAAAACTTAATGTAGAAAATGCAAAAGAATAACAATTTTGAACCCGATAACTATGAATGCATTTGATTGGTGGATTTTGCAAAATATCAAATCATAGTTTTGACATTGCGTCTATGTATTGTACGTAATTAAAAGTAATAAACCTAATTGAAAATTACCCATTTCGATAATCTCGCTCGAAAGAGTTTACTTATTGGAAAATACACACAAATGCGGTGTTCATCAAACGGTGCTACTACAAATGGTGCAACTACAATAAACGGCAATAATGGTAATAATAAAGAAATAAAGTGTATATTGCAACAAAAATAGTTTAGTAAAACTCCATAATTAATATCGTAAATTTTTTTTTTTAATAAATATCTTAGGCAATGCAAGCAAGGTGTCGAATAACTTGGTTATTCCATTTGTGCCAAGCGTCATTTCTGCAGTGGGATTTACAGCCAGCTCATTTTACGGAATTCACAGTTTGATCATGGCGCAAACTACATCATTTGAGGCAGAAGTGAGAGGGGAAATTAAGGAAAACAAGGAGGAAATTAAGATATTTAAAGAAGAAATTAAGGCGGAAATTAAGGAAAGCAAGGAAGAGATTAAGAAATTTAAGGCGGAAGTTAAGGCGGAAATTAAGGAAAGCAAGGAAGAGATTAAGAAATTTAAGGAGGAAGTGAAGGTGGAAATTAAGGAGTTCAAAGAGGAAATGAAGGAAGAAATAAAAGCAATGAGTTCGGTAAGTTAAGGTTTAATGATCATTTCTTTAATAAGTTGCAAAATTACTAATGATTAGTTATCTAATTCAAATTTAGAAACTCGACAAAATAATTATGGAATTCGCATTTCTTCGAGGATCTCTTAAAATCGATGAAAAGAAATGAAAATAATTTCTTCAATCTTTTCGTATAAGTTTTTAAAGAGCTTTAGCAACGTGCAAGTTAATTTTATATGTAACAGATTATTACTATTCTTTTAAATTACAATTATTAAAATATGCTAATTTTAACATAAGTTTTACTAATTAATTCAAATTGTTTTTTTTATTGCTCAATTATTATATATATATAACTAATTCCTTGTCTTAGCTGATATACAGTGGGCGTTTAAAAAGATTTGCATCAATTATTATTTGAATACTTGATTTGTTATTTTTCTAATCACATGACGTTTAGTACCAGCATTTCTTTCGAGAGTTGTAATTTTGTAAGATTAACAGTATGGTTTATAATAAATCAAAATGTTATTAAATATTTAAATTACTAATAAATTTAGGAGGATTAACCCAAGTAAATATCGGGTCAGTAAATCGGATGAAATTAAGTGTTAAAAATCGCTAATAATTTTAACAAGGAAAATTTTCTCTCTAGAAATTTGTATGCAATAAACTTTGTATTAAATTTATAAGTAACATAGTAATTATTGAGCAAATAGCTTAAATAGACCAATTAAAATTATTATTCATTTGTTAATTTAAGCTATTTATTACTTAATTTGTCATTTAATTGATCATAAAAATATTGCTAACTCGCGAAAATTTTAATTTTTCAAAAATATATTAAATATAAAAAGAAATGCATCAGAGTAGAGGTTGGAACCGGAATTATTTTTATATCCAAATTTATTTATTTATTAAATCCGATTTTAATCCGGATATATTATACCCGGATTTATTGTAAAATAAATGGTTAAACGACATGATATATTTAAACATCAATTTTTGAGTTCAAATAATTCATAAGCGCAGAACTTGTTATGTAAATTCAAATACATATTAGCAGCGTTATCAAATAATTTAAATAAAAAAGTTCATAATTAACATCAATCATCACACAAAAAAACAACTGAAGATCCAATGAGTTTCGTTTATGTATTTATAAATAATTAAAATGTAAAGAGAAGAATTTTTTAATAGGTAATTAAATAAATATTGTTCAATAAAGTTAATTGATCAGTGTTACCTCAACATCGGCGCTCTACACTTTCGCAATTCAATTTTATTAACTCAAATAAACACTAATAAATAATGCTAATTAATTAATATTACGAAAAATAACGATAATAATGGAGAAAATTCATGAAGTTAAAATAGCGAAAGCGATAATATCGCAAGGGAAAAAGGAAAAAGATTAAGGTGTATGTATGCAAATAATGGAAAGGCGAATTGTGAGAATTAAAATTGCTTATGTGCTGTCTCTCCTCTAAAAAGAGCTTTCAATTCCAGCATACAGTATATATTAAAATTTTAACTGGAATATGTTATCAAACGATTTAACATCTTAACGCTATTTATACATAACTTAATCCTAAGAAAATTATTCAGAATATATGATATAGATCATGTAATATATCTTTATCCTAACTGCAGTCCGGTGTTTTTCCATATATGGCATTACCAAATATGGAAATGATCGTCAATTATCGACATTCTAGAAATCTGATCGACGATCGGTAATACAGAATTTTATTGGCTGTAAATCATCATATAATGATAAAAATTTTAATGAAGACAAAGTTCGAAAGAGATATTACTCTGTGCATTTACACACGAATGAATCTTTAAAAGTGCTGAAGGAGAAAGGCAAAAATTTTTTGGCTGAAGTTACTTTAAGAAGAGTCAGAATTGTTAAATGGCAATAATATTTGGCAAATTGTTACGAAGCTGGAAACATTTATTGATATTTTGGTTTCCAATTTTTGTTTTTTAATTTATTTCATTACCAATAGCCAAATCTCGAACTTGCTGTAGAATAATTAATAGTTCATCTTTTCTTTTTGATTTTAACCCTTGAAGCTGTGACAAATTGGTCTTGTTTAAGGATCTAATTAATGATTCGATTACCAATATCAGTTTCTCCTTCTTCATCGAATGTTCAGCCGATTGTATTTGCACTTTATCAATAGTAACAGAAATTGGACGGGTAACTAATAGCTTTGTAGAACTTAATTTTTCTTTGATGTATTTTATAAGCTGACCTTGAGCTGTAATACTAAACGATTTTAATTCTTCACTCAATTTATTATGTCTGTCTAAACTCTCAAACTGATAATTATTTTCGTGTAGATTTAGGAAACTGGTTTTTCTTAATTGAATTCGAAACTGTCATGATTCTATTTCATAATCTGGATGTGATCGTGAACTAGTACTTTTAGCATCTGCATAGCTGATTATAGCAAATAGTCTCTTCCGTAACTGCTATCAAGAATAAAAATAATCTGCAAAAGAAAAAAAGATAAGTAATGCAATTAAATAATATCAAATCTATTTTTTTACCTTTATAAATTTAACACAATTTCTTGCTGCCATTTTCTAATGTTTTTGAGTTGATACAGGCAGGATAAGCGTCTTTAACATTTTATTCACCTCCTCAAGTATAGCATCTAATTCTTGATGCTGATTCGATCATCCTGATCATGATACAACCGAATATAATTCAACAAGTTGCCAGATTTCAGGTCAAAGGTGCATTAGTTATTCTTCATCAGCCACTTCAATTTCTTGGTAAATAGGATATCACCTAGGATATTTCCAAATTAGATTATCGATCTGGATAAAAATCAAATCTGGAATCTGGTTTGAACACGACAAACTAAATTTCTTAATGTATAAGGTAAATTGAATTTGAATTTAAACGAAAATAATAAAAGACGATACACACATTTTTCTTAAGGTATTTTATTTATTCAATAATTTTTTTAAAAAAAATATAACTTTACTTTTCTATATAAATAAAATTGAAGTTATTTGCCGATTTATTTAAAAATTAATCCAAGATTTTGATTTAAAATTCTAATAACATATCCGTGAGCCATCTTTTTCTAGTCGTATTGGATGATTGCATTTTGAAATTTTGATGGTTCATCACGATTTTCCACACTACACATTTTGGTATTTGAAAATAAAATATATAGGATTAACTCTCATAACGAAAATTTCGGATGCATTATGTTTTATTTATATTACCTTTATCTCCAAAAGTTGGTCTTGTGAAATCTATTTTGGAAAAACAAGGCTCTAACAATATATTCATTTCGTTACAAATATCGTAAACTTTTTTACAAGTCGATGTGCAAAAATAATATTACTGTATATAAATCACAAGAAAAGTTTTCATATCGAAATTGTTAATTTTTTGTTAAAAAGAAAATAAAGTACAAGATAGGAGAAATTTTTTATAGCACAATATTTCGATAAGTATTTCTCATGCGTTGCTTTTTTTTTATTTTATTTTATTTTATTTTTTGGAGAATGATTATCTGAAATTAAATGAAAAGTTATTTCACAAATAAAGTGCGGTAAATCACTCGCTTTTTATTTATGACTATATATTTACAGTGATGTCTTAATTAAATAAATTAAATAAATTAATGAATTATGATTATAATTTTTTCGTGCGTGATCAAATATTGTCAATAGTCATTTTTTTAGTACGATTTCATTAAATGATTCAAACTTGGTTTTGTTTATTTATTTGACATTAAAAATATTAATATAAAATAATAAGGATTTATATAAATATATATATTGTTATTTTAGTTTGGATGATGAATATTCAAAATATCACGCTCGAGTGCAAAATCAACGAAAATCCGAAAAAGCATTGTACTTATCTAAGGAAATTCAGTTAAGGGATGGAAAAAAATTAAAAAATGTTAACACGTGATATAGAAAAGTATTCAGAAAAAAATATATTACAAAAAAAATTTCGAATCAATAAAATTATTTTACGAATATTAAAACATTGATGGCTAACAATATATTTTATCACCGTCATATAAACATGACTTTATGGAATGCTTTATGCGTTCATAATAAAGAGACTTTAAATAAAGTTACCTCTATATTATATACGATTACTTAAATAAACTTAAAAATGTACTAATTATCTCAGTCTAAAAGATCAAATAGGTTAAACCCTAAGAAACAATGCTATCTTGGTCAACTTATTTCAGAAAACAAAAACTAAATATGCTCTGAACTTGCGTAATGGAACTTTGCAATAATTTTATTATTAAAGGTTAGTTAAATTCATTTGCCTTTGAGAATTCTCATATTAAATCTTTTTTTAATTGTACAACGTATTTTATCTATACGTTTTCTCTACGAGAAGTTTCATTCAATTTTAATGAAAATTGAATATATACCGTAATTTTTCTAATGCTTCTAATTTCGAAATTGTTGCGGAAAACATCAAAGCAATTGCGTGATAATCAATTCGAATCATGAACTGTCGGCGTAAAGCGAAAGAAAGACAATATAACGATAAGTTCTAGACAAACCGATTTGTCAATAGGATCTAAATGAATGAAAAGTAGAATGACCAAAAGAGGAAACTGTGTTGATCTTTTTGTTATTCAAGTGATTTTTCAAAGGCTGATTGGAGAGAACAGTGTTCAATACAAAATCGTAACGCACGTACCGATTTGCAAGTTAAACAATCTTGAAGCTGTATCAGATAAATTAAATGTAACGTTCGTGTTTGTTCCGGAAGAAATAGAGTTATAATGAATTAAATGTTTACCACAAATTATTTTCATTTGATTTTCAGCAAGTACAAAAAAAAAGAAAAAAATAACTTTTTTGAAGTAAGGAATAATGGTTATAGTGTAGATTCTAGATTAATTGATATTCTATTGCTGTCCCATTCTACCTGCAAAAATCTAGATCATTCAAAAAACTTAATTTTTATATAATAATAATTAAAGAAATATGAATTTGTTCTAAAGGTGGCGAAATTAGTTCCTGCGTTATCCAGAATTAACTCCTAATTTTGTTGTTGAGTAAGATGTAATGGAGTTGAAAGCGAATAAAGGAAGTGGATATCGATCAATTTACAAAATAAACAACGTGGTAAAAAAGTTGGCAAGATATTTATTAAAAATCAAGTAAATACAAAGAGCATTATTTTCCGAATATCAAATTATAAAAGGATGAGTTTAAAATACCTTTAACTTTTATAAAATTTCAAACTTGTCATTTGAACGCACCTAGAACAAGTTTTAGAAATTACTTGAAAGGGTAAAATAATAAAAGACACTGAAATTAAAAATAATCTACTAAATTAAATAATACAAGGAAATAGTAAATATCACAAAGTCATCCCAACTTCACACGTGATTGTTACAGAAAAATTTAAATGTCAAATCCATAAAAAATATTCCCGGAATTATACATGACATTACAAATTAGTAAATTATATGATCCGGCCATTTATATTAAATTATATTATCGCCCAAGCAGCAATTCTCTGAATTGACACGAATGGCGCAGTGAGCCCAAGAATTGTAATTGAACAATTTAATCGATTAAACATTGGCTTGTCAGTTATAAGCAGAGGGATTTTTTTTACTAAATATCGGCAACACTATAATATAACAACACTTAAGTTACCAACGATTTTGTTAAAGAAGCAGGCTTTATTAACAAAAATCACCGATCATATTAATTTATTCAATTTAGTAAATTTTTCAATCTTTAAAATTTTGTATGGGCGTAATACCTGAAAATGGAAATAAAAAAAAGCGATTCCAATAAAAAAATGTTCAATTATAAAGTTAAAAAAAAAATATATATAAATAATCATCAATTAAATGAAAAAAAAAATACGAAATAAAAAATACATGAAGTTTGAAAGAGAAAAATATAAAAAAAAAAGAAAATAAAAAAATTGGGGCGGGCATCGCAGGAAATATCACTAAACGATAAGGGGATTAGCAGCCCACCCGGAAGATATGAGTTAAGCTAATATTGAAAGAAATCTGGCAGGGTATACATTTATTAGAATATTAAAATGATTTTTACAAACAATAATATAAGATAAAATAAAACTACCTATCCTTGACCAGTTTCCTTGTTCGCTTTCGGGCTCAATT